TAAGTTAACGCCTGGAAAAACAAAATGTACCTTTAAATAATATCGCAGTCTGTTTGATTAATAACTGATTGCCTTGTTGTATTAAAACTCGGGCTATGGAAACCAAAATTATCATATTAATGTGAAGCTCGTTTAATACATTCAGATGACTACTAAAGCATTTTGAATAAACTGGAATTGAAGCAATCGTGGAATGAAGTTTGGAACAGATGAAAGCCTTTGAACTGAATCCAAAATTCAATTTAATATTCCCTCCAATGCACATTACTCTGGATACAATTAAATGTCTTAATCTAAAATAGGGTCGTCAGTTATTTTTAGCCATGGGTCACTTCAGCCAATAATTCAATGAGTGGGCGGTATTCTCAAAGTATTCAAAATACTGTAGTGTTGTTTGCAGCCTCACCAGCACTGGGGTCTGAAGGGGACTGGTGTGTGAAATCAGGGTCATGTCTGTACCACAACACATCCAACTACCGTAAGCCACACATTATTCAGTATGTCGTCTGCATGGGCCTCAGAACTGTACATGTTATATTCTGGATATAAGGCAATTAGGCATGTGCACCCATGATTAAATTCAACAATTGATGCTGAAGGTGGCTGGGGGACTCGGAAAGTCATCGTGCTGATTTGGCACCACTGAGATCCTGAGATAAAATGTGTTTCAGCTGTCCTAGTTATGATGGGTTTTCCAAGTTTAACAAGATGACAGTCTCAGCCTGGTCATCAATGACTGCACAAAACCAAATCTTATTATATTCTGCACTCAATTTGGACAAAATTAAAACTGTCAGTTGGACATATCCCTCTATAGCTGGCAGGTGGTAAAATGTCTAGTTCATTATCAAGAAAAAAATGTATGATTGAATATATGTATAGCACAGGTACAAGCAGAAACTGTACATGGCTCCACCGCAGAGAGGCTCACCCTGTAACTCAAACTGCTCCACGGCCTCCTGCAACGCTTCCTCGGGCTCCATGCTAAACTCTGCGATGTTCTCCCTCACCACGCCGTCAAAGGTCTCCTGCGAGATGCGCTTGGAACCCATGTTGTCGACCTTCAGAAGCATTCCGCAATGGACATCAGTCAACTATTCTTTATCAGCCATGATCAATCCACTGCTGTATGAAGGACTCCTCCAAGCCACCGTTATCTATCAAGGTCCTGCAGTGTAACAATCCACCTAGCACATGCATATGAGCTTATTTCATCGCTCCATCTCGGTTGGGCTCCCTCCCTCGGCTGCCACTCCGCAATTCGTCTCGAAATGTTAGTTAAGTGCAATTCAGTTTCTGTAGAATGTCTATTTCTTTGAATGGCATTGTTGGTGGATCGCAATGGTCAAACACCCCAAAGCAGAACCCTCTTGTACGTGACTTCTAGGACTCAATGAGGCTTTTTTGGAAGAAAAAAAACAATACGTGTACAATAATGACACTGGTTTACTTCGTGGATGCGTTCCCATACCTGTAAACCCATACGGTTTACCAGTATTCTTGTACAGGAAAATTGACTTTTCAGGTCCATACGGCATACAGCCGTTCTTAATACGGGAAAAGAAAACATTTTTTTGTCTATTTGTGTTTCTCCCTTGCGATGGGACTTTGTAGGATGAACGTTGAGATTTATAAGGTCACGGGGTGACCAATAAGGTCTGAATTGGTCTGCAATAAGCGAGCCACTGATAAGGGGTTGACAGGTGTGCGTTACCCGAAAGGTGAGACCATGAATATCGAAACAACGTAAATCATAGCAATTTACAGGTGAGGTGGAGGAGGGGGGCGAAGGCCGAGGAGACGGATACGAGAAAGGACGGACGAAGCTGTCAGCGACCTAAGTGTGGGTCAAGGCAACGCAAGTCAGGTCGTGGTATTAAGTGACAACGTATTTGCTAAATGTTAAATGGGGAGACGTAAATCGGGGTATTATTGTACAGCCAATTGTCAATAGACTGCCTAATGACGGCCTCCCCTCCGACCCCCCCCCACCCCCTCACATGCCATTCGGGGCGTGGGGGTTATTTGACCATACTTCACCACCACAACATTAGATTTTGTTTTCTCTGCACTGCCCTCTGCTGCCCACTAAGTATCTATGCTGCCCACTAAGTATATCCATATCGTACAGATACGGTCTATTGCCTGTAAGATGTGGCTCATGCCTCGCCTGCATTTCGATTCGAGCAAGCCCGACTCTGCTGATGAGACACTGTGTTGTCGAAACCCGTCCAGATGCTTGCTCACGTTGAATCAATGTTGCACAAATTATGCCACTCCTTGATGGCCGTGCGCGTGCGGCAGATGGATTGTGCAAGGAACTTTTAGCTTTATATTTGAAGAGGTGAATACATAGTTGTCAAACCCTTATCAGTGCCCTACCTTATTGCAGACCAATTCAGACCTCATTGGTCACCCCGTGTCCCTTATAAATGTCAACGTTCATCCTACAAAGTCCCATCGCAAGGGAGCAACACAAAGACAACAACAAAATGTGCCCGTATTGAGACGGCTGTACGTAGTATGTCCCTGGACAACTCAAATGTCCCCGTACAAGAGCACGGGCTAAACCGTGTGGGTGGAGAGCGATGCGGTTACTTAAGTTTACTCCTGTACACTGTATTCATATCATCCACAGTGACGCCGATTACACAATTTTTGTTCCTGGTTAGTAAGCGTTATTCCCTAATTGCTTGTGCCTCACAAGTACAGAACATGGCTGTTATTATTCCTCGCAAACACTTTGCTTTTGTGGACCAGGACTTGACGTGAAGGAATGACACAAACGCGCACCAAGTTTTCTCATTGAAAAAAAAAGATAGGTAAATTTCAAAATATCACTGTCCTGTCTTCTTGGTTCTTTCGGTAAAGTCACGTAGAACGGAAATAAAATAATAAAAAATAAAACATAATTATTTTTAAAAACAATTATTTTTATTAGTTTATTTCCATTCTACGTGACTTTACCGAAAGAACCAAGAAGATGAATCCCTGCAGTCACGAAAGCTTTAAATCGAAATATCACTGTCCTGGTCACAAAAGCAAAGTTTGTGGGGAATAATAGCCACTTTCTGTACTTTTTTGAGGCGTAAGCAATTTGGGACTAACACTTACTACCCAGAAACAACAATTGTTTTTATAAATATATAAATTTGTTACACAGTGTTATTATTGAGGCGTCGCAAGGTGATCGCCCATCCAATCACCAAGCCCCTTTGGCTGCGCTTCCGATACATTTCGTCGGAGCCGTTGTACTGTCTTATCGTGTAACAGCTCAGACGCGTGTTGTGTTTACAGATAAATACCGTGTGTGTGTATATATATAAAACATGCACCGGTTTAAAAACGCAGCGTTGTTTCTATTGTGCCTGACCACAAACAAGCCCTATCGCGGGAAGGCCGCAGCGCTGAACACAACGCCGCTATTTCACTACCACACACACGCACACACACAACCCCCCCGCCAAAGCTGTTACGGTGCAAATGAACAAAAGCCTTACCTACTCGACCTTAGAATTACAAAAAGGTAGTTTCGTCGTCGTTGTTGTTCCTTTCGAATATTAGCCGGACACATGAACGGAAGTGCCCGTGCAGTAAGGGCTCTCGCGTGGGACTCGGCGACTTCGGGGCCGGAAGTGACGTGCCCCCCCCCCCAGGCCGGCAAGAGGCGCATCCCTTTGGTGGCAGACCAAGGAGGCTTTCTTCACATTCAAATTGAAGACTATACAACTATAGTACATACAGGGTGGTGCTTCGAACAAAACCAGAAGAAAAAAAACAGTGAACGCTTATACGGGACTATCGGGTTATTTTTTTTTGGGGGGGGGGGGGGGAAATAAAATGGATAATACACTTTTTTTTATTTAAAGCTTTCGTGACTGCAGTGATTCATATTTCTTGGTTCTTTCGGTAAAAGTCACGTTGAAGGGAAACAATAAAATATATTTTGATTTAGAGCTTTCGTGACTGCAGTAATTCATATTCTTAGTTTTTTCGGTAAAGTCACGTTGAAGAGAAACAACAAAATATATATAAAACAATAAAAAAATTCTCACGACGTTTCGACCATAACTCAAACGGTCGTCTTCAGATAATTTTTTTGTTTTATATATATTTTATTATTTTGTTGTTTCTCTTCAACGTGACTTTACCGAAAAAACTAAGAAATAAAATATATATAAAACAATTTGTTTCCCTTCAACGTGACTTTACCGAAAGAACCAAGAATATGGATAATACACTAACGTGATAACAAATTTTGATTTGAAGCTTTTTCGTGAACTGCATGAATCCATACTCTTTGGTTCTTTCGGTAAAGTCACGTTGGTAGAAAAATAAAATAAGACATAAAAATAATACGACGTTTCGATCGCAACACAGGCGGTCCGTCCTCGGGTGGAAAAAAATAATCCAGCAGTGCAGCTGCTGAACCAGCGAGAGAGCTGCTGGCAACAAGCGACCGAAACGTTGTGGTCTTTTTTGTTTGATTTATTTTTCTACCTACGTGACTTTACCGAAAGAACCAGAGCATGATAAAACAAAATGTATGTTAATAGCTTCAAAGAGTCTCTCCACTTGTTCGCAATCATTGCCAACGCACGCCTGGCATCTTCTCCAAGTGCTCTCCAGAATCTCGTGGCATTGTTGCAAATTCTCAAAAGTGTTAAAACATATTTTAAGCACCCTATATTTACATGTTTTTTTTTACCAGGTAAGGCCCACTGAGCTATATATAGCGTCTACTTTTTTGTTAGACGCGACCTGGCCACAAATGACAGCTCAGCGAAGTGGCTTACCATGTGGAAATGTATTGCAGCCAAATGCTCTAAACGCATCACCCGGCCGAGCACCCGTTGATACGATCCCTCTTCAATCTTTTACCCCACGCATTCTCAAGATTGAATGAACTCCGCGGGATTGGGCCCAGGATTGGAGATGGAGAGTTGTCAAACGGGCATCTGACACACGCGGGCCCGCACACACACAGAACGTCCGTGGAGTCTTTTTTTACAAGTTTATTACAACGCACTTTTAATAACACGTCCTTTTTTTTCCAGCCGTGCATGAGGGAATGCAATTACAGAGCAAAAGATGACGGAACAGATTTGAGCAATGCTATACGTCCTGCACTTGTATACGCTAAGGGAGGGCCTTATAAAAAATAGAACTTCCACACTTGTGCAAAGTTCAAACATATTAACCTACTCCTTTATTGTACAAAAGTTACATCCTTCAGTAAGACAAAGCTCGCATAATCTTCTCTGCATTGAGAAATAACAATCGCTGCTATACATACGTTACACACAAAACACCCAACAAATTGTCTTTTTTTTATTTCTCTTTAGCGACAGCTATCTCAATATTAACGGGAAATCGTTCAAGTTTTATTTACCGTGGAGACCATGTATATCAAAGTTTGTCTGCGTTGTCCATGAACAAAAAACTTTAAAGAAAATTACATATGTATAGGTACAACAAAAAAACACATTTACACTTATTTCTCCTTGCAAGACCCTGTCGCTGTTTCAGGAAAATCGAGAAAAAAAGAGGGTGGAGGGGGAAGAGGTGGGTGAGGGTATTGCGGAAGAGCGATATTTTGAAAAAAAAAAACGCTGCAAAACTGAACCCCATTCAGATTATTTTCGTGCATTCGATTTACAAAACAGCAACGACAATTTTCCGACTGGCTACAACAAAATAGTACCCGACAGTAAGCTAAAGCTAGCATGGCCTGCTCTCATTCACGCCATATGAAAACGTGACAGAGCGCCAAGTTGACAGCGTACAGAAATTAAACAATGCACACAACTTAAAGCTATATGAGAAGGGGAAGAACGTATATATTACCGTGCACATTCTCAGATTACAAAAGAAGATAACCAACCATACAGTAGCCTACACGACCAGTAATTGACCCACGTCGCAGCCAATGTTACAAAAAAAGAAAATCTCCTACAGTTAACTCGTGTTCCAAAGTACATGTTCACTAATCGGTCTAACAGGAACACGTGCACTGGAACACCGCGTGTGGTTTCGATGCGTTGGCAAAACGTAGTCGGCACCTCAAGGGAGAGGTCTAATGTCAACCAGTCACGAAGGTTCACAAGCACTGCATATGCAGATTCATCCCGCTCACTCACAAGTACACACTTGAAGTCCACTAAAACGGCGCACTGCCAAAACACCTCAACATCCTTGCTGGTATGCAAACCGTCTTATAAATACCTGTATATACAGAGCAGCGGGCGGCAATGGTTTTGGAAGTGGGAGGGGGGGTGTTCAGTTGTTCGCGTGCAGAAATCGCGTCAAAGGCTGCACTCGTCCGCATTCTTCCCAGCATTAATCAGGGTCAATACATTTCAGCAAACCGGCGAGTATGCTCTTCAGATGGCTTTTAACTAAGTCCTTGAGATTACAATGTTCATGTTGACTTTTTCACCCGTGGGTTGGAGAGAAACGCTACTCGACAAGCATTATATTATCATTGTAGCAATCGCGAGTTACACTTAACCTGCATTTTATCAAAGTGATCACCTGAAGTAAGCCTTTATGCTTCAACGTGTATAAATGCATATCAACGTATACATATATTTGTGTTTATACTCTTTTCCCAAAAGGAAAAAAATACATCTACAACAACCCAAAGCCTAGCCAGATGCAACTCTTTTTTTTTACAAAAAAATGTTAACAAGTGCAGTGTCCAGTGAACAATGTTTGTTTACCTTTACAAAGTCAGCAAAAAATCTCAAACGTGCGCGACTGGCATGGCAAGTCAAGGATAACATTTACACGTAACGCGCACACAAATTCTTATTCCACCTATTTAACAGTAGAGGGCAGACTCGCACCAAAGATCGATGCTTCTGCTGCATAAACATGTATTATCGTTATAAAGGGGAGTTCGCGTAGTTAGCTTAAAGATGTTGAATCCGCCTTTAAAAGTTGCATACTTTGGAAGGGGTGGGAGGGCGAATAAGCCCCTCGAGAATATTATACCTTACACCCTGTTAGTATAACCCATGGAAATTCCACGGAAAGGCTACTTTGACTTACCACTGTTCAAACACTATTGGCTTCGCTAAATGATGGGAATGCAAGCGATGTGGTTAGTCAGAAATCACTGTATTTGGTCAGCTAATGCTTGTGCGCAAATACTAAAAATTGCAACTGTGGATTTAAAAAAAAAGTTAACAAACTATATTCATTACAAACGCTATTTAACAGCTTGTGATGTGTATGCAAATAGTAAGCCAGGTGAGCTGTGGGATATTGGGCATTGGTGCTGTTTTAAAGTCTACATTGTGGCTATGGGTGCATTTAATGTTGGTCGCACGTTCATCAATGTAGGTCAATTGACATGACCATCAAAACGAATCCCAGTTGCAAACTTGTTAATCGACGCCAGACTATTTACACACACGACAGCAACTTTTCCTCAAATGGCCAAAAGGATTACACTAAAAACAAGCAACTCAAACCTTGTCAAAATTAATTTTCTAAAACATAAGGGAATGAAACCGTGCAGCTTTCTCAATATAAAAATTACAACTGGGAAGGCCACATTTATTTTCACAGAAATATGTGCACTTAAATGTAATATAGAGCCAGGATAAATGTGCCGTTATGGTTTACAGTAAAATTCACAATTTCAGCACAGTTGCACAAATTCCCAACAGCCAGCTGTATGTCAAGTTAACTGTTTCAGCAAAGTGTGAGCAATGGGAGGAATGAAGATGATTTTAAATGCAGTACGACTGTGCAATAATCTCCATTGGGCCAGCAAGAAGACATTACAAAGCTGCACAATTCTTCAGCACTATGCGGTGGAAGTGGCAAATGCGATTTTTGTTTGCATTTATGACCTAATTAAAGCTTGGGGAGATTTACGAGCAAAATAATGAACAAAAATCTCCATGTTTAAATGAGCTCCTGCAGAAAACGGCTGAAAGGAATTATGCATATGCCAATGTTACCAAATGCTTCACAAACTTTATTTCATTTCCCACTTTACAAAATACCTTCCAATTCACACGGCGCAACCGAAGGTGATCCCAGGCAAACATAGCAATGGCGTAGGATGTGAATAAACTGTTGTGACAACAGGTACACTCGTACAAGCCATTCACAGACCATACTTTCGTTAGCTATGGATGGCCGTGTGCACTGGGATGGATCGTTCCGAGTTTGCAGCGCTGTGAAGGTGGCAATGGTTCCACAAGCAGCAACAGCAGCAGACAAAAAACAAAACGGTCTACTTCCAGGAACCGGCAGGCTGCGTGACGGAACGTGCTGCATTGCCCTGTGCAAGGGAGCGCCCGTGTGCCGTGGTCTGGTTGACGGCGCGATTGGCCGATGGCTGCTGCATGGACCGTCCAGACGGTGACGATCCTGTGCCTGGCACGGCACGCGCTGTGGCCTGCGAGTGGTGGCCCATGACCCGTGAGCCATGCTGCTGTGGGTGCGCAGTGGCGCGCGACGCCCCGCCATGCTGCATGGGCGCGCGTGCACCGTGCGACAGCTGGGAGGGCGTGCGTGAGCCCATCACAGGGCGGTGCACTGTCGGGTGAGAGATGGAGCGCGAGGGTAGCATGTCGAGGAGGTATTCGCGCTGGCGCTCAGCCGGTGATGCAGCCGTCGACGTTGAGGGCTTGTGTTGGCCCGACAGGTTCGGAGTGACGTACGCCATGTTCACCCCGGCTACGGCATGGACAGGGAGGAACATCAATTAGAGTGGTGAGAGCACAGTGTACCAAAAACTCAAATGTTCGTGGGATATTTGAGTGAGTGTGATGAAACACCACTTGATGCAACTTGAGACAAGTAACATCAAGTGGTGCAAAAACAAAATAATTATGCACAAACATCTGCTGGACAAAACATTTAGACAAAATGAAATTGAAAGAGTACTATGCAAGATAAGACGTGGGGATGATGAGAATAAAAAATATATGCACTTGTACCACTAAGTGTAATTTAGGATAAGAAATGGCAACCTAATCCTGATTATAAACATTTCACAATCCAATTTTGTATTTATTACCGTGACACTTAAAAGTTATGAAATGATGCATGTTTTACTATGCATCAGAATGAATAAATAAACCCGATACACATTATCCATTGTGTCAAACGTCATAGAAAATCCAAGACTCCTAATTAACCATTGATACCACGCCAAGATTTTGTACTTTGGATAAAAAGACTTCCCATTCTTGCAGAGCGCAAGGATGATTTGGAGAAGAGAAATAAGCAAATAAATGCACGCTTGTATGCATCAGCGCGTGTGAAAATTTGTGCATGCGTGCGAAAAAAACCAAACAGACTTTCTTCACCTGAGTGGGATGCGACGGCGTGCCTTCGAGCTCTGCCTGCGCCCCCTTGGGGCCTGGCTTGAGGCCTGACTTGGGCCTTACCTTGCAGCCCGAGCAGCTTGCTGGACGCCTGCATCTGAGGTGGCTGTGGGAAGCTGTGCAGCACCCCCCGGTGTGGAGGCTGGTGGCCTCGCTGGACCATTGATTGGCTTGGCCGTGTGGACTGCTGCTACACAGAAAGCACCATTTCAAAGAGTTAGGGAATGGTACCAAGCAATTAAATGTGGTGTTAAGACGCCTTGTAGACTTTAAATGATGGGCAGTGATGAATAACATCAATACTATGTAAGTTCATGACTGCGCAGTATAGCTCTCCGATGTGTTTTCGTTTGCATGTTTTTCGGCACATTTGAGATTACGCTTCAAGTGGAGCAAAACATCGGACATACCGAACAACACGAGGTACAACATGAAAAACATGAGAGAGTTAGGAATAACAGTATACGTTAAGGTCTTTAAAAATGAAATGAACGGCAGACCTGTTTAAGTGGGAGCTGCTGCATGTGAGATTTGGCATTTTGTGTTGGAGTGGAGACCGTTTGCTGCTGGATCTGCTGCTCAATCTCCTGCAGATACAGACACCACCACGTAATTTCAACCATAATCAATTTATAATGGACTCCCAAATCGACAAACTAAAATTGTGCCTCCAACTTAAATAATAAATCTGTTCAATCATAATGTTGAAAAAAAAAACATTTGAACATGTGAAACAGAAAATAATCCAGGATTTCACAGCATTACCAACGTGTTTTCAGCGATTTCATCAAGTATTGTTAAAAATAAAGTTAACTGATGGGAGACAAATATACAGATTTATATGAACATTATTGCTTGCTTTAACACATTGTTTTATTGAATATGCCTAAAGAGTTATAGGATGTTTGTACAGGCTTTGATTATGAATAATGTAATGTCTTTCAGTTACAATCCATAAATAAAATGAATGCAGATTAGTGAGCAATCTGGTACTGAAGGGTGCCTTCTCTTTAAACAGCAATTTCTGCAAGCATTTGACGTGAATAAAGATTCACCAAAAAATTTAGAGGAACATGCAGATCTTTCATCATCAATGGTTTGAAAGGTCTTACCGTTTTCAGTGCACATCTACGGATCCAAATTTTATTGACAGTTACATACATCTTCTTTGGTTCTTTCGGTAAAGTCACGTAGAATGAGAATAAAATAATGAATTGATAAAATAAAATAACACAATAATATTCTCACGACGTTTCGGCCACAACACAAGCGGCCTTCATCAGGTGAAGGGACGAGACTGTCTGGTAGGACAGCGCTGGAGTGAAAGAGCCACGTTCAGATCACGGCTTTTAAGCCTCAACTTTAGCACCACGGATAGCTACGGGCCCCGTTCAGACGGACGAGTTCGTCCATGGTCGGAACAGAGGAGGGGGAGAGAGACAGCTGCGAGGCCCTTAGAGTCGCGGCATCTCTTCAGAAAGGTGAGAGACTCGATTAGTTGAGCCTTCTTATCCCGAAGTCTGTTGAATGATCTTAAGGATGTGCTTAAAAGCCGTGATCTGAACGTGGCTCTTTCACTCCAGCGCTGTCCTATCAGACAGTCTCGTCCCTTCACCTGATGAAGGCCGCTTGTGTTGTGGCCGAAACGTCGTGAGAATATTACTGTGTTATTTTATTTTATCAATTTATTATTTTATTCTCATTCTACGTGACTTTACCGAAAGAACCAAAGAAGATGAATCATTGCAGTCACGAAAGCTTTAAATCGAAAGTTACATACATTACCAGGAGTAAAACAATGGGCATGTTAACATGCATGCGCCTTTCTTTCGTAATTGGCTGACCTTGTGCCATAAAAGCATACCCCAATGTGACTAAGTGGTCGCACGTCGACGTGACCTCAGGCACACCCACCTGCTCTTGCTGGAGGGCCTTGACGAAGGCCATCTTGAGGCGGTTTGTGTGCTCAGCCTTAAGTGCCTTCTTCTGGTTAGAGGAGAGGCACTGTTCGCAGATGACAGTGCCTCCTTTCTCATGCCGCCAGCGCGCAGTGAAGTCTGTTTGGCATTGCAGGCACTTGAACGGCTCCCGGCCCATGGGCTGCGGTGCCGCTTTGCCTAAAGATAAACGCAGGTATAAGAGGAGTTTTTTTTTTGCTTTACAGCGGTGGCAATTTGTTACCAATAAGAGGCATTATCTTGCTACATCATGATAACTGCATAGAGTTTAAACACCCTTTGTATTTTAACCTCCAAGAAGGGTGCCTTTACCATTAGTCTGTACGACTGACCATTTACTCGCATGTTTCCCTCTACTTTTTTATCTAGCACTAAACCAGGAGGAGTGTTTCTTCGAGTCATGGCCCACACTCACCGTCATTTATAATAAAATCCAGCCACCAAAGTTACCATGCATGGTCTATCTCTTACCTGCACCATCATGCCTAATTTTTTACAACCAATTTCAATAATAAGGCCATACTTAGTTTAAACTAGATTCCCAGTCACAACATTTTATCACTATAGCAATATACAAAAACGGCGCAAAACACACCAGCCTAAAACACTGCATTACATTCTTATCCTGATCGCAATGACACTGGTTCCTGCGGGTTCACTGCGTTTAACAAAAAAAATGGTTCTCACCTTGCGTCTCCAGCAGGCTCTGCACCACCTCCTCCAGCCCAATCAGGTAGACAAACTCGCTGTTGGCAGCACTGGGTAGGAAGTTGAGCTCTGGTGGGGGAGGCTTGGGTGGTGGGATTTCCAGCAGCGTCTTCTCCAGCTGCTTGCGCAGCGCCAGCTTTGCTGCCGCCTGGCGGCTGGCGGGCGACTCGCTGCGTGCCGGCGTGGGAGAAGAGCTGGCTCCGCCCGATCCACGCACCATGCTCTGCATTAGAAAGCACGGAGAGAGCGGCTCAATACATGGACAGCCCATAACTGTGAAAGATGTGCTACCTGTAAAACGTCACTCAAATCACAGAATTTACAAAAAAACATCTCAATGCAGGGGCCCTCCTGAAAAAGCCTTGAGACGCAGTAAGGCTTCCTCTGCAGGGCATTAATACGATTATTATATTGGCCTGTGCTATGCAAAAGCTGCTCAAATATATTCTTAGTTTTTTCGGTAAAGTCACGTTGAAGAGAAACAACAAAATAACAAAATATATATAAAACAATAAAAAAAAAATTCTCACGACGTTTCGACCATAACTCAAACGGTCATCATCAGGTGTGTCGGTTTGCATAAATGTATTTTAAAAAACGGCATATTTATTTATTTATATTTAAAAAAACGTTTGCGTCACGCGCAGCGATTGGCAGTTTGCCCAGGACTAGTCCATCTATTTTTTTTTAAAAGAGGAGGGGGGAGACGAAATTTTTTTGTTTTGTATGCTGTCTGAAAGCCACTGTAAGCGTGAACAATCAATCAAGAACTGAAATGATTTATCAAATCTTTCCAATGATTGCTAAGATAGAATCCATCTTCTCGGTTTAAATTGTCTCTGTGCTTGTATATGTGGATAGCCTCATGAACGAATCTCTCATGGAAGCCAGATGGCTTACAAAGAACCTCCGTCTTGGAAAAGTCAATGGCATGTGAGCCTACTGAATTAGAACAATGATCTGCTACGGCCGAGGTGTTGGTCCTACCGTGTTTAAGGTCTGCTTTATGTTCACGAATGCGGTCCGAGATATGGCGTTTGGTTTCTCCAATGTAACTACTACCACAGAGGCAACTTAGTTTGTAGACACCAGGGTATTGTATGTCCGGAATCACATCTTTTACAGACGGAACCAGATCACGGATTTTATGTAATGTGTTGAAACGGACCTGGATCTTGTGTTTATTCAAGATTTTGGAGATCTTTTTTGTGATCCCAGCAATGTAGGGTAAAGTGATGGTTTTGAAAGGCTCCTCAAGAGGGTTCTTCTTCATGGTTTGAGTGATAGCTTTGCGGATTGTATAGTCGGAGTAACCATTAGCCCTAAGAGCTTGGTGTACGTGCTTGAGTTCACTGCTTATGTGTTCCTGGTCGGATATGCATTGGGCTCTATGATACAGAGTCTTGATGAGAGAATTCTTCTGTGATGGATGGTGGTGGGAATCCGGTTTCAGATAAGCATCTGTATGGGTAGCTTTCCTGTAGACAGAGTGGCTCATTGAACCATCAGGTCTCTTTTTAATTAGGACATCCAAAAAAGGTATCTTGCCATCTATTTCGACTTCCATGGTAAATCTGATGGCTGGGTGTATGGAATTGATGTGGTCGAAGAATTGGTCTAGAGCAGGCCGGCCATGTGGCCAGATGACAAAAGTGTCATAAATAAATAAATATGCCGTTTTTAAAAATAAATTTATGCAAACCGACACACCTGATGATGACCGTTTGAGTTATGGTCGAAACGTCGTGAGAATTTTTTATTGTTTTATATATATTGTTATTTTGTTGTTTCTCTTCAACGTGACTTTACCGAAAAAACTAAGAATATGAATTACTGCAGTCACGAAAGCTTTAAATCAAAATCTGCTCAAATATGTTCATGCGTATTTGACATCACACTGTAGTGCGTTATTAGGATTCACCTTCAAGATAGAATTCCCAGTTCATACTTTAGAGTTTCTCCTCTGATAGTTTATCAAATCTGAGTAATGTCAAGTGTTTGCCAGGGTGACACCATCAGCCTAGTAAGACACACAACACAATGAATCTAAACTACGAACAATGGAGGTCATGTTCAGCAGAATGAGGATTGTAGGATTCTTCATGTTCGTAATAAAAAAACATTTAAGCAGTATGATTTTGCACAGCCCAAGGTGAGAATCACTTTTTATTAAACGCAGTGAACCTGCAGGATAAGAATGTAACGCTGTGTTTAGGCTGGTGCGTTTTGCACCGTTTTTGTATATTGCTATAGTGATATAATTTTGTGACTGGGAATCTAGTTTAAACTAAGTTTGGCCTTGTTATTGAAATCGGTTGTAAAAAAATAGGCATGATGGTGCAGGTAAGAGATAGATACAAACCTGAAATTTCAGAGAAGATGGTTATTTATTCAATATTTTTCAGGAATTGTGCCTGCTGATGGTTAATTTGAATTGCTTCTAAATTGCTTAAGTTTTCTCAATACACGATACCTGAGTATTGCTTTCAAACTCGCCAAAAGCAAGTAAACATTTAACTTTATTGACTAGATTATAACCTTTGTCATGCTGCAATTTACTTGTCCTTGTAAATCTGTTATGCGAAAAATGTCTGGATATGATCCAATGCAGCAAACGAAAAGCATATTTTCCAAGTAGCCTCAGTCTTAGTGGAAATAAGAATCCAGTGCACAAAATAACAAGCATGCCATGATACGCAACATTTTCTACTCGTAATGAAATGAACAGAACACTGTGTACATTACCAGAGTAGAAGTTTCTACTCTTAAAATCAATACAGATGGTGCATTGATTCAAGTGAGTTTTGAATCGCTATAAAAAAACACCAAAAAAGAACTAATATTTCAAGAAAACCCTTATTCAGAGGACAATGAACCATGAAACAAATGCTCTTTCCAAGCAATGGTGATACCCAGAGAAAATGACCTTAAATTATGCCATTTGGAAGATTGAAATAAGGCCGACTAACAAATATGAAAACAATTTTCATATACGCAACTCCCCCACAGCATACCTTAATAAAAATGCACCAAACTTCATTCTAGATTTGAAGTTTTTGTGACTGCAAGGATCCATACTCTTTGGTTCTTTCGGTAAAGTCACGTAGGTAAAGAAAATAAAAAATAAATAAAAGCACGACGTTTCGGACACAACACAAGTGGGACAACCACAGCAAAACACTGACACTTGTGTTGTGTCCGAAACGTCGTGATTTTATTTATTTTTTATTTTCTTTACCTACGTGGCTTTACCGAAAGAACCAAAGAGTATGAATGCACCAAACGTTTGTTCACTGGGTATTACAGGTCACATTTACACCCTCTGATAGATTCCTTTGCACACACAATAAATTAACCATAAATTAAACTTCTATTTTGTATTTTTACAAATATTGAAGGTAAACTGTGCCAAGGGAAAACCATGTAATATCTGGAAGATGGCAACTAGACCAGACTAAACTAAACTATTTTTTTTTATTTACTAGGCAAGGCCCACTGAGCTATTATAATATTTTAAAGAAGCAACCTGGCCACAAACAATAGCTCAATGTAGTGGCTTACCATATGGACATTTATAGCATGTTGATTCTAAATGTGGAGAAAAAAAAACGGAGGATCCTGGAGAAAATCCACGCGACCACGGGGAGAACATGCAAACTCCAAATATGCAGGCATAAGGGTCTGGATCGAACCCACGACCTCCTGTAGACCAGGCGAGGTAGTTTACATCTCGGTTCCGCGGCACCCTCTCGCCACCACGGCTGTTGTGCACATGATACCTGGTGGCTATTGCAACGATTATTTACCTAAGTGTACGTTTATCACTGTGTAGGGGTGATTGTCACTCGCCATTCTGCAGGCCGGTAGTTCCCCTTAATGTCAATAGGGGGCAGAAGCGCTACCACGCCTAGGCGAATGTCCATGGGCCAGAAAGGGGCCAACGACAGATCCCAGTAAACGGATCCTAGGACACATTCCCCAGGCCCCCGGGTGAGGGGGAACCAGGGGAATGATGTCACCTTCCAGGATGGTCCAGAATGTTCCAGAAGGAAGGCGTGGCTAGGGCGGGGCAAGCCCCGAACGAGTATATAAGCCAAAGCTCTCAGAGCTCTGGCTCAGTTATCTACACGCTGAAGACTGAAGACCGGCTTGGAGAATAGGACCCTGGACCCCAAGCTCCACTGTCCTTCTAAGGGCCGGAGTTCAGTGAGGCCAGTGGTCAGGGGAGAATAGGTCCCTGGAAGATAGGACCCTGGACCCCAAGCTCCGCTGTCCTTCTAAGGGCCGGAGCTCAGTGAGACCAGTGGTCAGGACCCACAGACCGGGAGGTCGGGTCAGATAGCCTCCCCTAGGTCCCAGCCGGAGGACAATAGGGAATGGGTTACCCAGTGATAGGTCCCGTATAGTCCGGAGGCCATACCTCCCCAAGTATCGGGTAAAGGGATCGATATACCCTTTGTGTTAGGGACCGTGTAGTAGAGACAATAAAAGATTGTGTTGCCTCATAAGAAGTTTATTCATCAATATATACAACACTACAACTGTGCTGACCTGTACACAATTTTCCAGTGCACTGTATTCACATTGGACTGGAGAGGAAATACTATAGCGGCACTCATTTGTTATGTGACATTTACAAATTGAGTCTCACACACACACACACCCTGTTTAATAACCCAGGAAAAATTACATCGCTATGCCGTGACATTGGCATGAATTAAAATCACACACAAAATGAACACACCAGTCCCAGCGTCCTGGCATGTTGCGTATGTAACATTGGCACACATTACTGGTTTCCACAGCCTCACCTGTGTGTAGTTGACAACCCCGGAGGTTGGCGGCGTCACAGTAGTGACACGGACAAGCCCGCTGGAGGAGAGGCCCCGGGAGCCCTGCATCTGAGATGGTGTCGTCACTCTGGGAGCCATCATGAGTGGCGGGGGAGCAGTACCAGGTCTCGAACCATGCATCTGCTCAAGTCGCCAAAGGGAAAACAACCGAAAATATAACTAGGTTATGATGTGCCACTACATGCCGATTTATGTAAATTTGTTTACTTGCACAGGACATACAAATTAATGTCAGGTTGCTAACATAATTTACGACACTTATTTCAAGTTAAGATAATCCTTAAGTGTTATTTCGTAATTGCTTATGTCTAAAAAGTATAGAAAATGGCTACTATTCCCCACAAACTTTGCTTTTGTGACCAGGACAGTGATATTTTGAAATTACCTATTTTCAATGAGAAAACGGGCGATTTTGTCTTTTCGCTTACATAAATTAAAAAAACATGAATCAAAATTAACATGTATTTATACTAACGTAATACAAAAATGACTACAAAAGATTTAGACACCAAGGCGCACTACCACAGGCGGGCTGGCCACAGCGGACCGAGTTCTCTGTGGGGAGGAACAATGTCAAGTGGGAGCCACTGGTGGACCCCCGGAAGGTGCCGATGCCACCACTGCACATCAAATTGGACCTTATGAAACAATTTGTCAGAGCTGTAGATAAGGAGTCGGCAGGCTTCAAGTACCTTCAAGACTACTTCCCTAAGCTGTCTGAGGCAAAGGTCAAAGCCGGTGTCTTCGTCGGACCCAAGATAAAGAAGATCCTGGAGTGCAATTAATTCCCCAAGCTCACTAGTAAGGAGAAAGCGGCTTGGAACAGCTTTGTCACAGTAGTTCGTGGCTTCCTGGGCAATCACAAGATCGAACACTATTTGGAGCCAATAAGTAATTTTATGCAGTCACGAAAGCTTTAATTCTTTATTAACACACTTCTACAGGGAAGTTACCTTTGCAATTCTGTCCTAAATGTGCACCCCAAGCTTGCTCCTACCCCCACCCCCCCCCCCCGCTTCTGTTGATGTGCAGGATTTCATCTACTGCACCCTCAAGCCTGCTCTTATCCGCTTCTATTGATATGCAGGATGTGCTTATTTCATCTACCGCACCCTCTCTCTCCGGCTCCCTCCCCCTCCTCCCAACTTTATTTCCTATTTAAGGCTTCGGTTTATCCCTCCGGCCCCCTCGCTCTCTCTCCTTGCTTCTCAGTCCGTTTTTCCTCCCTCCTTGCCTCTTGGTGTACCTGTATATGTATTTCTGCTGACTTTGTACCTCGTATTTGTTCACTGTATTCTGGTTTGTGCAATCCAGAAGTTGAACACGAAATTTAACACTCTTCTGAAATTCGTGGTCCGCCAGGAAGTGTCTGTGTTGTTGGCCTGACTGGATGTGCTTCACATGTTTCTTAGGTTTGTTGAATTCTCGTCTCTCATCTTCTTGTTGTATTTACCTCCATGATTTGTTCTTGACACCTGATGAAGATCGCTTGTGTTGTGATCGAAACGTCGTGATTGTTTTGTTTTAATATAATTTTACTGTATTTCTACATACGTGACTTTACCGAAAAAAAAAACAATGAGTATTTGGAGCCGGTTGAGACTGGTGAAGAACTACGGCACAATGGGCTGTAGGATGTCCCTCAAAGTCCATATCCTTGATGTTCATCTTGATAAATTCAAGAACATGGGAGCGTACTCGGAGGAGCAAGGCGAGTGCTTCCACCAGGATACTGGACTTTGAACGCTGCTACCAAGGACAGTATAACAAGAACATGATGGGGGACTACATTTGGGGGCTGATTCGTGAAAGTGATTTACAGTATAATCGTAAATTTCGAAAAACTACTCGCTTCTAAATCTTTTGTAGTCATTTTTGTATTACTTTAGTATAAATACATGTTAATTTTGATTCATGTTGTTTTTTTCTGACTTTATGTGAACGAAAAGACACAAATTCGCCCGTTTTATCGTTGAAAATAGGTACATTTCTAAATATCACTGTCCTGGTCACAAAAGCAAAGTTTGTGAGGAATAATATCCATTTTCTATATTTGTTAGGCAAAATAAATTACGAAATAACAATACCCAGGAATAAAAATTGTGTTACATAGTGTAATCATTGAGGACTTTTATAATTGTGGGCAGGCTTGGGTTAGGCTGCACAACCTGGAATCAGAAGTTTCCTGTTCACCTTGCGATGTGACGGGGATGTTCTTTGACCCGTACACTATCCTTATATATTGCTATCATTGAGAATCTATGCATCAGAAATCCTATGACTATTAGGACATAGCCTATAAATTTGTCTCACAAAATGAAGTATCTTCCTTGTTCAGTTACAAGGTAGCGTTGTTAATAGCAAATTGTGCAAACCTGCGGGCCTCGGACGAGTGGGGGCATGACGACTTGCGATGACTGATGGTGTGAAAACTTGGGGGGGCCCTGCTGCCCACCTCGCACCAGGGGAGGGGGAACCACTGACCCCTGGTTTCTTGGCATCGTCATTTGCTGAAAAATCCATGTAAAAAACGCATTAATTTATCACCAACAAAGCAATGAAATTTGTAAAAAAAGATCACAAAACCAGTCTGAAATTCAGGATTTTGCACCTAAACAAAACAGTACTGGATCAAAATACCAAAGCCTACTTGTAATGTAGATGTCAAGAGGTCAGAGTGGCCAATGGCATTTAGAGGGTTGCAGGACCCTGAGCAATCATGGCATGATTGAAGAAGCTGAGCATATGGAAGGCCAATAGAGAACTCACCAACACTAAAAACTACTGTTTAATTTTCGATTTAAAGCTTTCGTGACTGCAAGGATTCATCTTCTTTGGTTCTTTCGGTAAGGTCACGTAGAATGAGAATAAAATAATAAAATAACACAATAAAATTCTCACGACTTTTCGGCCACAACGCAAGCGGGACGACCTTTCACCTGAAGACGGCCGCTTGCGTTGTGGCCGAAACATCGTGAGAATTTGATTGTGTTATTTTATTATTTTATTCTCATTCTACGTGACCTTACCGAAAGAACCAAAGAAGACTACTGTTTAATGTTCAATCAGGCGAATATTACTACAACATGAAACAGCAAAGCATTAATGTGATGAAGAATGGTAATGTGCGATAATTTTACTTTAAGAGGACCTGAGAGTAATCTAATTATCTTTGTCAATCTCTAGTAATTACTCAACTAACAGCTACCGAAGACAAAAATAGAGCATGGGCTTTGTGGTGTCGTAAGCTGTTTTTCAGTTTCGAGCTGCCAAACCAACACATATGGCCATTTAATTTATATATGAAGGAATGACATGAGGAAAGAAGGCCACACCCAGCCATGATATCATCTCAGAGGATATTTCACCTGCAGTACAGGGATGATTATACTTGGGCACAATAAAATAATAAAATCTCCACCCTGCATACATACATACATTTACTTGATATTAATTTAACCGGAATTCCAAGTCAATATTAGTTGTGAAGGGACTCACTTTCACATTGGTCAGTGTAAGTTTCACAGTATAAAAATTACATGTTAAGTCCACACCATAACACGAAATATGGCCAAGTGTTTTCAAAAAGATTGGGGTGGAATCAGGCTTGACCCGAGTACCTGCATACTGACCAACAACACATCATGATGCATGTATGCAGCAACAAGTTGCAGTGCCTCAGAAAGTGAGCTGCAAGGAATCATCCCCTGTTAACACTTAAATACGAGATTCCAGTTGACAGGTAAAAACAACCCTGTGCTGTCCATTCACCTCCACAGTTGTGTGAACCCCATAATCATTTGGACAGGAAGCGAGTGAATGGGTGAGGTAGCGAAAAGCAGAGCAGAGAACTTAAAGAAGCGTTGAACATTGGCATGCCAGTGATGGTAGTGTGTTACAGGGTTGATGCGTGCCTGCTGAGCTGGGAGCCGGGTGCCCGGAAGCTGCTGCTGCTGACTGCCCCGTACAAGAGGTGGCGGTGCCGACGCAGAGCCTGTGCCGTGCGGTGCAGAGGGCTGGCAGCAATCAAAGGAAAACACGAAAAGGAAGATATCACCATGGGGTCAAATTCTTGTACAATACAAAGTCACTAGTGTCCCAAAATCATAGTTTTATGATTTTGCTTTGTAATTACTTTAAACCATTTTAAGTTAGAGGAAAAGACTGATTTTGCTGTGATGGTTAAAGCATATTGCAAATGAACAATACAGACAAAAGCTGTGCTGACACATCAAGAAGAGATGTGTGGGCAAACGTTTGCCATTACAATAATGCTAGACAAGCAGAACATCCAAGTTCAGTTTCATGGTTATTAGAAATATGGAGATGAAAAATTAATATTGAAAAGCAGGCCATTTCTAAGCAAGTCAATCCATCATGTGGTCTTCTTGCCAAGTTCAGTGCAGCTTTTGTTAAATGCAAATCTGTTTCAGTCACAAATAATTATGGCTTAAAGACATTTAGCATTATTTTTGTTACTTTACTTATACAACCACTGTTGTGGTCTTGTCAATCACAATATATAAAAATCAAGAATCCAATAACATGGTTCCCAATTACCTGTCTACAAACAACAAAGAGCTTACGCAAACGAGACAACAGACCTAGGCCTGGAATGTACTCCTATCCAAGGCTGTTAAGGATATGAAAGCCAAAACAAATGAATAGAAAAGATCTATTACAAAAATCTACATTGGGATACTTTTCTTTAAACATTTTTTTTTACAGCAGTTGTTCCACTTGACAATGCTGTCAACCCCAGGTGACCTTAAGCCAACCAATCATACTTTGTGGAAGTGGTTTCCAAGCATTCTGGACCTGGAAACGATTGGTCACCCGAAAAATGGTTCACGGAACAACATACGGTATAAAAGTGGCGTTTTATGAAAAAACATGCATCCAGCCAAAGTACCATGGACCACTTCCCACAGTCTTGTAGACAACCAGCAATCTGTGGACCACAAGTGCGGAACCACTTCTACATGACATTTCATGTTAAAACTAATTTCAAACAACAGCATGTGTTGCACACTCAAATACAACTTATTTAATGAGCACTGGATGGAGCCCATGGTCATAACTGAGAGAAGCCAAAAATATTTCCACAAGCATTTATATTGCATAAATTCTGCACCATTTAAAAAATCAACAGCACTGTCAATCCAATGCAAGATGAATACTTGCCTATGCAATGTTGGTCATGGGAGTCGTTTGACCATAATTCACCACATTTAAAAGTTTGGGATGATAAAAGGGGGAGGGAGGGCTTGGACCAGCAGAGATATCACATGCGACAGATGTTAGCTGTGGCTAAGAATCGAACTCGGGTCGCCGGTTTCATTGTGCAATGCGTTAACCACTGCCCAACTGCTCCCCCGACACTGCTAAATATCAATTGAAATGCCTTTATGGAATTAATCAACGAGGATATTCTCTCCAATTCCAGTTTAAGCGTAGTCCATTGCTGCCAGTAAATCCAGTTTGTTTTCGTTGTCTCTATGTCAGAACTTAGCAGTTCATGCATACAACATTGTTTAAAATACTGCTGCCATAAATGAATGCTTTGCTAATTTGTCAAACGAGACCACATTGGTCATATTATCCATACCCGGTCTGCTCAATGTAGGTAACATGACACAGCATGAGGAAAAAACTGTCATTTGACCGACCGAACAAACTAAGCCTTGTAAAAAACGAGGAACATTTAATATGGCTCCTAAAGTTACATGGATAAGCAGTATTTAAAACCACACATATATACACTTGTGTGCATTTCCCACCAGAAAAGCTGCAAAACCTATTAAGCTACAGTGTTTTTCCCATGAATACAGTATTCTCAAAGATAGCACAATTAACAATAGTCTAGTGAGGTATATTCTTTGACAAGGTTATATACCAAAGGTAAACATGCACAAGAATGCAGCATCAAACTCATGCACATGTTAAAGATGAATGATATTGTGCATGCCTACTCGCAGTCTTATTTAAAGTGGGAGCTTTATTGCCCATGCAGAGTATAAAAGCATAATCATTCTGTTAACTTGTGTATGTGGCAAAAATAGGCATAACATTTTAACAGCTTTAAGCATGGCTTCCAAGGTGAACGCAGATATTGACGAGCGGTAAAAAGCATATGTATGCTATGCTTTATTATTAATCCCTGCAAGTACATGGACGCACTTTGGCTGTGTAATTGTATGGGAATATAAACTCGCGCGCAAACACACATAAGTATGCACGCAATGGGCTACAACAACATGCCCGATGATGCAGCAGGGAGGTATAAATTTCCAAATTAGCGTTTGACTTCACTGACCAATACTGCCATTATGGGCGCAACGAATCAATAAAATCTGGCTGGTTGCTCACCTTCTGCGTAACGTTCTCCTTTTGCATCTGGCTCTGCCGAAGTTTTTTCAACAGCACCAATTTGGCCTCTTCCAGCCGGAGTTCATCCTTCAGCCGCTTGATCATCTTCTCCCGTTCTTCTGGTGTGCTTGACTTTGCACGGGTGTGGGCAGCCACATATGCCATAAAGTTAGCACCGAAAAGACTGCACAAATTCTCCAGCTCACATTTGAATTCATGGCTGGTGAAATAATCTGTTTTGCACTGTAATTTTAGAAGTGTTATCTATTTACCACGAGACAAATAACGGTGTATAGAACATTGAGATAACTTTATGTTTACAATAAAGTTTAGACAATGCTGTTGTCGATGGACTAAAGTCACATCGAAAAATAACATGACTAAATACGTTTTAATCGCAGTGTTCATCTACTAAACATGCTCCTTGTGTAAGCATTAACCCTAAGTATGCCTTATTCTGGTTGCTAGTATTGCACAGTTCTGAGTAATCATGTTCATAAAAATCCTTGCAAAAGACATTGTAAAATATATGAACTACTTGCCTATCGAATCTCAATGAAAATGTTACTCGAGTTGATGATCCTCTTCCAAAAAAACGTTAATTATTGGAAAATCATTTGGTCAATCTTTAAGTAAATACCCTTAAATGAGGTGAAACACTCACTGTATGGAGACTAAAAATGCACAGGTCATTTGTGTTTCGGCAGGCTAACCATTAAGAAGCTGTTTAGGAGGACTGTATGTACACGCGAGTTATGTGTGCACATACTTTGATGAAGTCGCTGCCAATCTCCTCGTCCTTGCAGTAACCATTGGCTGTGGGACTAGAAGACTCGTTGTCGGAGAGCACAATGACATCTGGTGATGGTCCTCGCTTTTCCTTCTTTGCATCACTGGCATAAAACATGTCTGAATGTTAGCAGTGCCACATGACTCAATTTTAATTCAGTTAATATTAACTATTGCTTAATTAACATCACCACTAATGCTTTGCTTATGCATTATGTAGCTCAGTGCAAAACATACATGGATCGAAGAGGTGATTAAGAGAAAAGCAAAATACGCCCGTTTTGTTCCATTTTAAAATTAAATTATGCTCAAGCACGCATGTTCAATATTTTCCATCAGAGAATACATTGGTTAATTACCATAATTATTCTAATGCTCAGTTAAAAAGTGTACCTTACTTAAAACAAAAAAATAACCTTTTGTTGGTGCTCATGTCCACAGGCTCATCACACATGTTTTCTTTGTCCTTTTTCACTGCAGGACGAGGGGAGCTTGCATCCTTTTCTTCCGTATTCTGGTCATAACCATCCGCCATTGGCTCTGCTTTTACTTTCACCAATTCCTCACTCTCTTGTAGTTGTTCTTTCACACTCTCCTCCGTCACTTGCACACCATCCTCAAGTTGCACAGCATCCTTGGTCCGGCACTCATCCTGGGTCTCCAATGCATCATTAGTCTGCATTTTTTCCTCTTCGTCTTGCAAATCATTTTGGGGTGGCAATGCACTCTGGGGGGGCAATGCACTCTGAGGGGACAATGGAATTTGGGGGGACAATGCAATTTGGGGGGAAAATGCAATTTGGGGGGACAATGGAATTTGGGGGGACAAAGCATTTTGGGGCAGAACGACATCTTTGGCTTGTAATTCTTCCTCAGGTGAAGATTCTTTGCAGGGCAGCACATTATTCTCCTGCTGTGGCACACTCCCAGGCTCTAAAGGATCCTCGGGATGTGCAACAGTCTCCGGCTGCACATCACACTCGGTTGGTAGATCACCGTCAGGCTCAGAATCAGCAAAGTCTTCATCCATGCCATTTTCTTGGGCCTGACCTGGGTCAGTTTCTCCTTCGACAGGCAGGTCTAGCTTAGGGTGCTTAATGTCTGTGGTGATCTCTCCATCCTCCTCCTCCAGCTTCCTCTTTAGTCCATCCTGGGTTTGTAATGTTTCTTCTCCATCCACATCCGCCATCTCAGATAGCTCTGCAACATACCGCAACCCACAATTAACACGCAGCAAGTACAAGAGGAGCAATGTATAATGCATTGTTACAAATATTAGAGCACTCAAGAGAAAAATTTGTTGATGCTTACACTAGATATTGGATGAGATGTTCATCACTTTTTGATGAGATCACGATACCACTAACCAAACCTCAGCAGTTCCGTTAAAATATATATTACCATGCCAGTGTGATAAATGTTTATATTATAACAGCTATTGGAAGCACACAAAATAATAATTTCATGCATAATTGTTAAATTGAGCCTGTAGAAAGTCTACATAACAGAAATGGAAACACATTTACAGTGACAATTCGCTAATGAATGCTAAATTACAGCAAGGGCAGCAGTGAGGAACTCTGTAGCAAAGCCAATCACACGTGTAAAAAATATACATTGACGCTCAAACCAAATTGTTTATTCCTTAGTGTTTACTTGCTAAATACTGCCCCAACAAGACCGAAAATGGGTTTGCTCTTCACACCCAAGCATGGAACTTAATTAACTCTTTTAACTTTACTGGATTTGACTCTTAGCAGAGATAAGCAAAGTTTAAAACAGTATATGGACGGGGACAAAAACTTATTTGTTACTGTCCCAATAACAGCACAGGACATCATGTAAAGGGTCAATTCAGCATGTGTTTGCAACAGCCAACATCAACTCTGCACAATTAAGTCACAACCAAAATAATGGTAGCCGTTATTTGTTTCTCTGTGTGCAGTTGCAATTGATGACAGTTGCAATTATGATGATTTGTTGCTGCTGTTATTTTCTTGCATTTATCCAACAACACTTGGAACACCCATGACAATGTCGAGTGCCGAGCCAGTGGGCTGCAGCTGTGGATGCACCTTTGCTGCGTCAGCACGTCTCCCATGATGTGGTGTGCTGTGTCCCATTCAGGAAATGGCTTCCAGAGCCAGTCACATGACCCTGCATATTAAAGAGCCGGCCAAGGCGGCATCCCACAATACCTTGCGCCCGCCTGGCTGCCTGGGTTGCAGCGTTAAACGTGGGAGGAGGGGCAAACCGGTTCAGACCGGCTGAAGCCAGTTTCTCTTTTTTTTACGACTGGCATGTTATCTTTCAAACAGTCGTCATGGCAATACAGTGGCCAGGTCCTAAGACACCACGAGATGGGGAGAATGCACAAATCAACATGGCTTAAAAAAAAAAACACCTGCACCCCTACATCTCCCCCACCCACCACAACACTCCGCCCCCCCCCCCCAAACTAAAAAAAACTGATCAACAATACCACATATCACTGGACAATTCCTGAAACCCATACATGTGTATGACCGGTGAGCTGGTTAGCCAGAGCGTGGGTGGCAGGATGGGGCTGGATATGGGTAAAGGTCAAGTATGCACTTCCAAAGTACAGTAGTGCCATAATACTGTACTTAAACGCGTTAATCCCATTTTAACAAGGGGTACAACAAAAGGATAACTTACACTTTCCACCCCCCCACCACCACCGCTAACAAAGTAGTGCTTCATCTTACAGTAACTACATCTGGAATTCAGGTTTAAGCACTGGGACACATTTACACTTTCATACATATTCCTGCGTGTTGTTAATGTACAGTTAACGAGAAACCAATTACACCAGGTACAAGTCTATTTGCTGGAGTAAAGGCCACACCACATTTGTTGTGATGCCAAAAGCCACTTTGTTACCATATCATAAGATAAACATGCTATCGCGAAACAATATATTTTTTAAATGGCCTATCAACTAAACTCACGTTTTCACAGCACGAGACTCGCACAAGTTACAAAAGTTCTGTCGAGTCTGTAAGAATCGTGAAGTCAATTAACTGTACAGTACCATCAGTGAAATCGTGAAGTCAATTAACTGTAACAGTACCATCGGTCAAAAGTCAAAGTGAATTCCTGCTCGAATGAACATTGAGACAGCGCTCATCTGTTGACGGCCCTGAGAACCAGTCGTGTAGATTCCACATTCCTATGGCGGGAGCAAGTTTATCCATAGGACAGACACTTTTTGACTTCATCACAAAGTGGACGATGTATCGAATGATGAAACCCCCCCACCCACCCCAAACCAGGATTTGGCGCTTACGCTGAAGCCACCAGGCCAAGAGTATGAACGTAGCAACACCGTGGGCACCAATGATGGTCAATCTAATGGCCCAAGTTCATCTTTGTGTGTGCATAACAATGAGGGTGACTAAAATGATGAATCGAGTGCACTTTTACTGCGTTCATAAATGACCGGCGTCTCCATTACGGTGTAGTTTGATGACTAACATGCGACTCTGGTGGGTGTAACTTTGACAAGAAACCACGCAAAGCAGCCTAGACCCCTACAAAGAACGTGATATTTTCATACTTTAAATGTCAATAATGGATGAATGTGCACTTACTGAACATTTAGACCGCTTTAAATGGCATTGAAGAGCCAAGCAATCATGTAATGACGAGTAATGAGTCCAATGTAAACTAATTGGATAAAAGCCTTAACATGAGGGAAATTTTTTACAAAAGCAACTTTACAGCCGTATAAACTATTGTATCACCATGTCTAAAATAAGTGTTAAAGTAAAAATACACAATTAAACAAGTGAAAGAGGAATCAATGGTCAAATTCTGAACAACTACACTATAGGGTGCCTCTTTAGACTAAAGGAAGTTACAAACTCAAGTTTAAATACACATTAAAAGGAAAAAAACCCTAAAGACGAAAACTTTAACCAAACTACATGATGAAAGGAGACGATTGTTTAAGTAGCATGTTATTTTTTGATTAAAGTGGACACTTTGAAGAGACGAAAAACTTTCCCAACGTAAACGTCTATTCGCCCGTGTACAATAGGCCAGTCGATTCTAACAAAACCCGAGTCTCAAAAGCAATAAAACCTCCGATTTAACTATTCTGCACAAACACAACGCATTGCTATCGAATGTCGCCGTTTATGATCGATACAAATCTGGGCTAACACGGAGGTAGAAACCCATTATTATTATTCAACAATTGTGCGACTCGCCTAGATGCATCCTAACGCCTAGGCCCGAATCGGTAATTAAAATAAGGCGAACACGACGTTTACAATAACAGTTCTAGTGTATAACGTGTACGAGCATGTATCTTACCACCTTGTATCGCACACGATATAACATATATAGTACGGCTTACGTAATACAGTGTATAATAGTAGGGCCTACACACTCGTGTGTACATACAGTACGCGCTTGACACCTTAATTAACGAGCACAGCAATATCGTGCAATCGAATGTTTACAAGTATGCACCCTACGATTGTAATGTTATAACATCATATACCATTCCATTATCGTAAGGCGATCGACGAAACTCCGCTACTAAAGCGCATCATCTCATTCACAGCCGGCAAACGGGAAAGTGCCGGCGGAAAACAGTAAGAAAAGTTAACAAAGTTAAAAGTCACAAAAACAATACAATTGCTATCAAAGTGTCATAAACTAGAATAACACAAAAAAACGATCGTAATCTATCATTGAAGATGCGTGCGTGTGTATACTGTATGTAATAATATACCATACCCACAATCACGTCTACGCTCCCCCCGCCTTCACAAACCCGCAACGACCGGCGTGGTGAAGTATGGTCAAAACCCCCCCCCCCTCCCCTCCTAACAACACCACTACTCGCAACGGCGTTGTGTGGGGGAGGGGGTGGTAAAGAAGACACTCATCCAGCAGTGGAGTAACAACACAAAAACACCTCTCCACGTGTAACAGTCCAGTTGTGTTGCAGTGTGTGTGTGGCTTCAGGAGAAGCCCAGGCACTGTTCGGTCACACGGGGGCGGCCTTTAAACAAGAGAGCAGGCCGCTGCCTCTTGTAGTCAGCGTGCGGCCTTCTCTCTCTCTGTGTCTCTCTCTCCGTGTGTGAGTATATACACACACACACAAAAATTACAAAGAAGCTTATTTATTTATTATTACACCGTCCGAGGCCTTTCAATCCCATCCCTCTCGGCCGCGACGAGCTCTGCTAACACGACGACGACGGACGCCAATTAAACGCACGCCGGTTTTAAGGAGTTGCGTTAAACGTCGGTTTCGTTCGCATCGTTTTTCTTTGACGACGTAACCGCGTGCGTTTGTTATACAAATAACGTACGGAGAAAGAATAAATATCACCACCACCACCCCCCCACCCCCGACCGACTCCCTTCGGTGTAGTCGCCGCCCGGCCCGCCGAAGGTAAAAGCCGCCAATTGCGAGCAATTAAAACAAATACTCCACGACTATTCGGTAAACCAAGTCTACTTTGCCGGCGTATACATACATACCTTATCACCTGAAGAGTGTTTTTTTTTCTCCTCCCCCCCCCCCGAGCAGTTCCGTCCCACCGGTCCCGGTTTCTTTTATAATATTATAAAGCTTGGGGGGGGGGGTGGAATGGTGAAAGGTCTCGAGGAGAGGACGAGAGACGGCTGCGTTTGCCTCTGGGGTCCGGCTCCCAGTCTGGGTGGCGACAGTGAGTTTGGTGGTGGTGGTGGTGATGGTGGTGGACGAGGAGGAGGAGGAGGCGGTGGTGGTGGGTGCCTCGTGTCCTGGGTGGCTTCTTCTGCTGCTGCTGCTGCCGCTGCCGCCGCCGCTGCTGCCACTGCCACTTCCTCTCCGCCGCGGGGGCTTTGTTCCCCCCCGAACGTGGTGGTGGTCTCTCTCCTCACTCACCCACACAAGGATCCCAGAGACACGGGCTGTCTAATTCTTTACAAATAGCGTGTAGTGTTTTAGATATATTTTTTTGTTTTGCTGTTTTAGTAAAAAAAACTATTTTTTTTGCTGAGTTTTAACTCGCCATTGATTGTGGTTTTTTGGATTATTATTTTTTGTTTACCGTTATTCGAGAATTAAGTTTTTTTTAATTGATGCTGTGTGGATTTTAATTCCTCGGGGTATATAATTGTACGGTTAATATTTTTTATAGGCAGGTTATTACTGTGGTTTAATCCGAATATCACAAATTCAGTACTACATATTTACATATAGTACTATATTACATATTATTATCCTTATTTATGCGGCTATTAATATTTTATCCAAATGTCAACTAAATTTTAAGATCTCTCAAAATAAAAATGTGATCTGTGCTTTATTTACTGGTAAATCGAATGTGATTATCTATTCGTGTATGTGTTAATATTCATTAACACCCCACCCCACCGCAAGACGTCACAAAAAAAGCGTTCTAAAATTAAATGCTATACAATCAGCTGGAGGCCTCTGTTGTCATGGCAGACCAGACAACTTTTCTACCTCCTCCACTGCAGGCTATGTATGGCCAGAAATAATATGAACTAGATAAGGTGTGGGGAGTACTTAGAAAAATAAAATCTACATCAATGATCACAGCAGCAGAGACAAAACAAATAAAAAAAACCCACAAAGAATGTCCACCACACTTGTAAGTTTCTGAATTTTCTGTGAATGGTGAATGAGCAGTGGCCGGGCAAGCCAAAGAAATGGCCGATCTCAGAGGGCTTTTTTTTTACCCCCCTCTGTGGTGGCTGGGGGGTTTGGTTTAGCAAACACCAAAGTGCCTCCCCCGTCAGCCTGGCACAAGCCACCAACCACCACCACCACGACGACAAGCCCCACCCGCCTTTGTGAGCGTGTCATTGTGCACGTGTGTCTGTTTCTTTCTCTTAAAATGGCTGCCTTCACACAAATGCAGAGGAAAGGGTTTCTTCAACTGGAAATCAGGGGCTTGATGGTGATGATGGCCAGCAGTGCTTAAGTTGGGCGGGTAAAGGTGGCGGTGGGGTGTGGGGAGAGAGAGAGAGGTTGGTGGTGGTGGTGGGGGGGGGAAGGCGGTAGTTGGGAGCTTTGTAAGGGGGAGGGGAAGGGTTTTGGAGAGGTGGCGTGAAGAGTTGTGGTGCTGCTGTGTGTGGTAGGGGGGGGGGGAGTTGGGATTGGAGAGGGAGGAAAAAAAAACCAAGTCATTTTGGTAAACTGGATCTCCATTGGGTGGCAATGCATCACCTGATGTCTGGCCCCTGACCAATGGACCGGATGGTGTTGTTGGCTACCTGCCGAGGACAAACCACCAGCAACACCCACCCTCGTATATATGTGTTTTTTTTTACTCGTCGCATGACGATGGGATGACGACACGTGCATGCAGTGACAGCCCTGACGGGTGGGCTTCATTAAACAAGAGACAGAGAGAGAGCAATCCACATGCATACATGTGAGCACGCACGACATTGTTCCACGTCACGATAGGTTTCATGTCATGACCGATCGCATGTCACATGGGTGGCCAGCTATAAAGCTGTGTTGACCTTAACCGGTGCTGACACACAATGATGTGCATCGGCACACAAACACCATCGCACCATAAGTCATTGCACATGCAGTTTCTGTATAGGTAGAAAATCACTCCCACAGAGATTAGTACATTTTTTACCCCATTCGGGGTTTGTGTCACAAGGTGGAAGGGTGGCGCAGTGGTTAGCGATGTGTCCTCTGTACCCAGAGACCTGAGTTTGATTCCTACCCAATGGTTAACATCAGTAACACGTCCTATCTGAACTGATCCTGGGCCGCCCGCTTCATAAATGTGCACTAATCGAGCGTGGTGATGAAGTATGGTCAATGAATATCCAATCATGACACAATGTTGGGGAGGCCTTCATCATTGAATTGACAAAGGGCTATCAATTATTATTTTAGTTTTGTGACACGAACTGTTTCTGCAAAATCCACATTCCAGACATTTTCTTAGCACGAAATATTCCCCTCGGCATTTATACGGTCTCATTAGGGTTGAAGGCGCGCTACTGTATTAGGTGATACGTTTGGCTTCAAAGAAAACAATTGCATTAAATGCTTAGCCGTCACAACCGGGAGATAAAATAAAGCACATCACAAGAGACATTCATAAGCCGTGCTCTTCCCCACGTTATTGCCAGACCGGACAAATTCTTCACAGCGACAGTCATAGCTGCAGTCTCTTTTGACCAATGAAACAAAACAAAAACCCCGCGACCTTATTATGGTTATTTATAACAGTTCTGCCTTGCACATTCAGACTGTCAGGTTGCCATGGTGATGGAATCTCCCTGATGTTCTCAACGCCGCTTGCGGAAAATTTGCTTGTGCATTGCCATCCGTGGTGACACGTCCGAACCGTGTTACACAATTCGCAACAGACATATATAATGGCACATCTGTAGCGGGACGAGATTACAAACAACTTCATCACAAATCCAGGCTGTGTGGGGTCTTTTTTCTTCTTCCCGTGCCACCACCTTCAAACACATAGGCGTCCCGACCTATGATGGCAGAAGTATGATCGCCTTGCCAGCCTGCCAGCCTGAATTCTCCCACCATCCTCGCTCAGGATGAAACGTCTCCCTCGATGTGGCCCTTCACTCGTACAACATCTCTCGTATTGAACATAGCGCCCAAACATCTGCCCTACATCGGCGGCGGAGCATTCAATCTCGATCTCCCATGGCTTTGTAAACTCCAATTCCAAACACGCCACAAGCTAGCGCGGGTTGTTGGTTTACATTTTTGCCATTCGTCATCTACGCGCAATGCTAAAATAATTTAAGTGTGCGTGAAGATGAGTCATCAACTTTTAAGAGATGGCTCATTAATTAGGAGGCAGTGTGAGGAGTGGTTTTTTGAGGCACTGTAGTCTATCCGGTTTCATGGCTCCCAATTTTTGTGAAGGTTTATTTTGGTTCATGCAGCTTTTAGTACAGGTGACATCACATATAATGGAGCATGACGGCAACCTGTATTGTTGACGAAATTCCAATTCGCATTGCTACACTGTGGTGTGATACCAGATAGGAAGAGACGGCTTCCGTACTCTACATCAAGTGCATTCATGAACCACCACCGAATTACTGGGACACACCAGACAGACACATATTCTCAAAGACCACGCTGGGATTGCGACACCCTGTACTGTATTCTGGGCTTGCACAATACTGCTCATGTTCTGCATCCTAAATGTTTATCATCTTAACGACTGGTTATAGGAGCAACATTCGGCTGTAATAATCCCCCCATGGCTAGCATCTTAAAATATAACAGGCTCTATATAAGCAAAATGCCACATGGGAATTTTATTTGTGCGTGGCCACGAGTACAAAATGTCGCAGGATGGTATCACGAGAAGTATTTTGCAGGTAAATGTTGTTCGTACGACCAGGAGCCTAGATTGTAATTGTTACGCCATTATTTCATCTTACAATTATTATTTTGTGAAGTCATACTATAAATAACTCAACATGGTGACACGGAAATAGTGGCCACGATTGGTGAAGATACCTGAAGAGAAATGAGAAAAAAAAAATTCCCCCCAAAACGTTCTTATAGGCTGATTAGAATACGGCATGTCCATGTTTTGCGAAATTTTTGTCATGTTTTTTTCTACTATAATCATCACCAGCCAGTCTATCAACTGCTGGATGAAAGCTTCCTCGTGCTCCCATCATCTCCCAAAGTCCTGTGATGACACAATCATTCTCATTCCTGCACATGAGCTGATCTTATTGCTCCATCTCCACAGAGGTCATTCTCCCGGGCGTGTTCTGTTTTGGGTTTTATATCATGATCGACCACGGTTAATCTACTGCTGGATAAATGCCTCTCCAAATCCGCCACCGTCTCTCATGATCCTGCACTGTGACAATCTTTCTCACTCCTGCACATGAGCTTCACTTCATCACTCCATCTTCTTCGTCAGTGAATGTCCTCTTAGATGCATTCCGTTCCCCAGCTGCTACTCTGTCAGGGTTTTCTCTCTACTGTATTTTAGAAATAATAATAATAATAGACTCACAGGCATCTATGTATACGTTGTTAAAATAGTTTTACTTCCTGGACACTAATTCACCAACTTTATATAATAAATTCCACGCGATAGATGTTTATTTTTTTTATTGGGACGTTTAACTGTCACACGTGCCACACCACATGGATAACCAATGTTGCAGATAATGATCCATTACCCTTGGGCTTTAAAAACAAATAATTATTTAGGGTTCCAGTTTGATATGAGAATCAGTTTATTTTACCTTTTAACTTAAGTTGAATGCACTCACACGTTAGCTCTGTCCCTCTGTATCGGGTAGTCGTGGCACGATAACTGTCCTAAAGACAAACTAATATGAGTAAAACTTGAGTATAAAGTTGTATTGCCATTTGGAACTTTACCAATAGAATACTGGCCACATTGATCAAATGGGATTCTTTAAATGTAGAGACCGAAACTAGCACTACAAGTTCTAACTTATACTTTCCCCACTTGTTTTCTAGTTGTAGAATTGCTTTTTGTTGTCCTTCCCCCGCACCTCCGATTAGCACTTTGGCTACGTACCGTACGAAAGAAGTTCTACATATACGTGCCACGTGTTGTTCGGCATGACTTCCGACATTTTGCTCCACGTCCTAGGAGCTTCTTACTGAATTCAGTTGCTGGCACTCGGAGTAAAACGTTAGACATCACGCCGAACAACATGCGGCACCACTCGAAAACACATTGGAGAAGTAAAACAGTTGTTTTTCATGTAGCTAAAATACACGTGCTGAATATCATATTAATATTTTGGCCAGTTTCATCACTGCAAATAACCTTTTGGGGAAAAAAAATGTTTCAGTCGCATCAATTGTATGTGTTGCCTGGAATTTGACATGCCTTCCCTGAAACTCCCCTGTCCGCGTGACTAACAAAGATGTTGCAGAGTATGGTGCGACACAACCATTTGGTGATGCAAACCAGATGGACATCACACTTGACATTAGGCTTTGTTTGATTTACTGTACAGGAATGTGTGGGACGTAGCCATCATCTAAACATGACTATTTTCTGGGAAAAATACTCATGGGATGCCTAAATGTTCTATACTGTGTTCCTTTAGCTAGATTCAAAAGCTCAACGATGAAAAGGAGTAAATGTAGGACGCCTCTCAACATTATGGGATCTACATACGGTAAATGGATAATAATAATGACAACGATAATAATTCTCAGCCATTTTTTTCTCAAACTACTGCTGGATGAAAACATCCCCCCATGCCATGTTGGTCACGCAGATTGTTTGACCATACTTCACCGCGCTGGTCATTGTGCGGGTATGTTATTGGCAGGTGCCCAAACCAAGGCCAGATATTACTCGCCACAGATGTTAAGCTGTGGCCAGGAATCGAACTCAGGTTCGCCGGATTCATAGTGAGGTACTCTAATCGACTGTGCCACCACTCCAACCATTGTTGAATTAGCGTACTCTTATAAAACAGCAACAACAACAACCACCAGCCATCTCTCATATATCAATACATCACCACATTGCTCTATCTTCTTTGGTTCTTTCGGTAAAGTCACGTAGAATGAGAATAAAATAATAAATTGATAAAATAAAATAACACAATAATATTCTCACGACGTTTCGGCCACAACACAAGCGGCCTTCATCAGGTGAAGGGGCGAGACTGTCTGGTAGGACAGCGCTGGAGTGAAAGAGCCACGTTCAGATCACGGCCTTTAAGCTGTGTGAGAGGAACAAAGCGCCTTGACAAAGGAATTAGCATATAATTTAGCATTGAAATGGCTGAATGATTAGCTTGTGACTGGTCACAGAAATAGCTATGTTAAAAGTTAAAGCCTACACATTGCTCTAATTTGCTTTACAAGTTGAGAGTCCACTGAGGTATTACGTTGCGCAAGGCAGACTTATTCATCATAATCACGCAGGAATTCTACTGGTTAAACAAACACGAACAGCGCGA